TCGCCTCTGTGGATACTCACAGCTTACTCCACATTATCAAGTGATAACTTACAGTTTTGGTTTTCCACTCCTGCAGACCTCTGTGTCGTGGAACACTTTAAAAAGTTACTGTGATCTGCCAAACAGGACAATTTGAATCGTCTCGGTAACTGAATAACCTTTATTTCTTTTCTCTTGCTGATTCGCCCTAGCCAGAACTTCCAACACTATGTTGAAGTAGGTAGTGGTTGAGGAGAGGGCAATCCCGTCTTGTGCCAGTTTTGTCAAAAGGGAGTGCTTCCAGTTTTGCCCATTCAGGTATGGATATTGCTGGCGGTTTGTCATAAATAGCTCTGATAGTATTTTGGAGATACATTCTATGTCAATACCGAAATTTGATTGTGGTAGAGTTTTGTAGCATGGAAGGGCTGTTGAATTTCTCGCAAGCTGCCTTTCTGACGTATATTGAGAAAATCATGTGGTTTCTTGTCTTTGGTTCTGTTATATGTTGGATTACAATTTATTGATTTGGCAGTCGTCTTGAACCCAGCTTGCATACCCAGGGAAAGAGGCCACTTTGATTCATGGTGGATAGATTTTGATTGTGCTGCAGGATTTGGTTATGCATATAATTTATTGAGGATTTTTTGCATATGTTCATCAGGGAGATTGTGGTGAAAATTCTCTTTTTTTGTTTGTGTTCGCTCTGCCTAGGCTTTCGGCCTATAGGAGATGTTGGCTATAAATGAGTTATGGGGATCCCTCTTTTTCTACTGATTGGATGAGGTTTCAAGAATTGTGAATGTGTATAAATAGCCCTCCTTGTCCTCCGTAGAATTCGCTGTGAATCCATAATCTGGGTCCTGACTTTTTTGGTTGGTAAAAGAGCTATTAATTGATTCACCTCAATTTCAGAGCGCTGCGTATTGGTTCTATCAAGTGGGTTTCAACTTCTTCCTGGTTAGCTTGGAGAGGTGCAAGTGTCCAGGAATGATTATCCATTTCTTCTAGATTTTCTAGTTTATTGCATAGAGGATGTTTATGAGAGTATTTATTGAGAGAACCCATCATCTCAGCCCAAATCTCCTTAAGCTGCATAGCATTCAGCAACAGTCTCAGGATACAAAATTATATGTGCAAAAATCACCAGAGCCATTCTTATATATGAGAAAAGACAGAGAGTCCAAATCATGAAGTGAAATTCTACTTCACAAGTTGCGCTTAGAAGAGAATTGACAAATAACCTAGGAAATCAGCTTAAGCAAGGGATGTAAAGGCCTCTTCAAGGAAACTGACAAGCCACTGCTCAGTGAAAATAGAAAGAGGGACAACAACAAATGGAACAGAACATATCATGGCTCGATGGATAGGAAAGGAATCATATTAGGGAAAATGGTCATACTGCCCAAGGTAAATTATAGATTTCAATGCCAACCCCATCAGCTAACAATGGAGTTTCTTCACAGATATGGAAAAAACTGCTTTAACACGTTCATATGGAACCAAAAAAGACCCCGCATTGCCAAGATAATTCCTAAAGTTGAAAGAGCGCCGAAAGCTGGGAGACATCACATCTACGCCTGACTTCAAACTATCACTTTTTTTTTTTTTACAAGTGCTAGCAATAACCAAAAACAGCAGTGGTACTGGTGCCAAAACAGAGATAGCCCGGGTGACCAGAACAGAGCTCAGAAGAGAACCACAGTCGGATCTTGCACAACCTGACAAAACCAGAAATTGGGGAAAGGATCTCCCTTATTAATAAATGGTGCTGGGAAAATGGCTAGCCATAAGTAGAAAGCTGAAACTGGATCCTTTCCTTACTCCGTTACTACGAGAAATAATTCAAGATAGATTTAGGAGATTAAACTAGTTAGACCTAATACCATAAAAACTCTAGAAGAAAACCTTAGGTAATACCATTCAGGACATAGACATTGGCAAGGACTTCATGTCTAAAACTACAAAAGCAACGGCAACAAAAGCCAAAATTGACAAATGGGATTAATAAACTAAAGAGCTTCTGCACAGCAAAAGAAACTACCATCAGAGTGAACAGGCAAACTACAGAATGGGAGAAAATTTTTGCAAATCTACTTATCTGACAAAGGGCTAATATCCAGAGACCTACAAGAACTCAAACAAATTTACAGGAAGAAAAAAAAACCCCATCAAAAATGGGCAAAGGACATGAACGACATCTGCCAAGAAGAAGACATGCATACAGCCAACAGACACATAGAGAAAATGCTCGTCATCACGGCTGCCATCAGAGAAATGCAAAATCAAAACCACAATGAGATAGCATCTCCACACCAGTTAGAAAGGCAAATCATTAAAAACTCAGGAAACAAACAGGTGCTGGAGAGGATGTGGAGAAATAGGAACACTTTTACACTGCTGTTGGATTGAACTAGTTTCAACCTTATGGAAAACAGCAGTATGGCGATTCCTCAAGGATCTAGAACTAGAAGTACCATATGACCCAGCCATCCCACTACTGGGTATATACCCAAAGGATTATAAATCATGCCGCTAAAGACACATGCACACATATGTTCATTGCGGCACTATTTACAATAGCAAAGACTTGGAATCAACCCAAATGTCCATTAGTGACAGACTGGATTAAGAAAATGTGGCATATATACACCATGGAATACTATGCAGCCATAGAAAAGGATGAGTTTGTATCCTTTGTAGGGACACAGATGCAGCTGGAAACCATCATTCTCAGCGAACTATCTGAAGAACAGAAAACCAAACACCGCATGTTCTCACTCATAGGTGGGAACTGAACAATGAGATCACTTGGACTCCGGAAGGGGAACATCACACACCAGGGCCTATTATGGGGAGGGGGTAGTGGAGAGGGATTGCACTGGGATTTATACCTGATGTAAATGACGAGTTGATGGGTGCTGACGAATTGATGGGTGCAGCACACCAACATGGCACAAGTATACATATGTAACAAACCTGCACATTGTGCACATGTACCCTAGAACTTAAGGTATAAAAAAAAAAAGTTACTGTGATCAAGAGATCCAACATACTCCTGAAGAATGGAAAATGCAGGTTTGCCATGAAAGACGGTATTACCTGGTTTAACAAAATTTGAAGAGTAATTCCGAGTTATCCTCACGACAGTGTACAGGCTGGTAATGCTGACGTCCAGCGTGTTTTCTCACTGTGAGCGTCCGATGGACCAGAAGGAAGCAAGTGGAGCCTCAGGGTGCAAGTGGAGGTGGTGCTGGGTAGCGCAGCAGGGCCACAGGAATTGACCATGTCTGGAGAAATTCCTCGTGTCAATTATGCCAAACGAGGAAGTGTTGAGGACAGCCAAATCAGGGAGATGTAATTCATGAAAAAGCTGTGTAATTTAAATACTCATAATTTATTTCAGCTAACGAATACAACTGCAGTACTGCACTTGCTACATCTGGGAACTAACTACCCATTGCGGCTGAAACCTCAGGCCTTTTTTAAAGGAGCGGCGCGAGGACTTGTGGGAAATGTAGTCTGCACTTTCTGAGGAAGCGGCGCGAGGGCTTGTGGGAAATGTAGAGTGCACTTTCTAAGGGAGCGGCGCGAGGACTTGTGGGAAATGCAGTGTGCACTTTCTGGTCCCAGTAGCGGGAGCTGCTTCGGGCCTTCTGCGCATGTACGCCGTATGGCTCCAGGTTTGTTTTTCTCCCCCCGCAGCCTGAGTGGGAGGGCTCCCGGCATTTCCGCGTCGGGGTAGAGGACATGGAGGGTGAGTAAGGGAGGGCTGGGGCGAGGGTGGACTGGAGGTTCTGCGCGGCCTGGGGGTGGGAGAGAGAGAGAGCGGCTTTGCCGCCTGGTCTGGGTCCAAATCCTGCCTTGGTTCTTGTGCTCCCGAAGGGAACGCGCACGTCCCGCGCCTGTGACAAGTGAGGTTGGATTTTCTCTTGCCTGAGGTGAAGGATGCCCGGAGGCCTGGGCAGGACGGCGCGGAAACGGGCCTTCTGCCCAATGGATATGCGCTTCTCTCCTTATTCTTTTCCCTCGGAATCGGAATCTCGCTGTGGCCTCGCAACCACCTGTGGTCGGCGTCGCCGCGTTGTCACTGCGATGCCTAGGCGAGCGGGGTGGCGGGAAGCACCCGCGGGGCGGGGAGGGAACCTGCAGGCTCGGACTCCACACCTAGCCTCTGCCCAGCGTCACCCAGCTTGCTGTGTCCTCGCCGGTGGGAGCTTCATGGCCTGACGCCTTCAGGAAGTATTTTGAAGTCATCGTGGCTGTGGATTGGGGAATTTCTTGTTTCCACTGACCTGTGAGGCCGCGCACGTGCAGGGAAGTACCCCAGAGCCTCCGGCACTGTGCAGCCTGGCCTGTGTCCCCAGTAGCACCAGTGGGCATTTCTGGAGGGTCTAGCTCGTGGCTCAAGTGACAGGAAGATGTAGGAGCTTTCAGTCTTGGATGAGGGTTCGAACTGAAGGGCTTAGGCCCAGCAGTCTTGGAGCAAAGCGGCTGTTGTGGGGTAAGAAAAGAAGGGTAGGGGGCGAGGGCTCAGGGGCCCTCCTAGGAGGACACCCGACCAGTTGGGCTGAGACCTCATTAGAGATCTAGAGCACGGGTGGGAGGAGCAGAGGCTCGATTTGTGTCCTGTCCAGACTCCCACAGGCTGGGTGATGGTGGGAGCTTTGTGCTCATTCAGATGTAGCGGCAGAGGAGGGCAAGGCCGAAGGAGCAGACAGCACTACCTCTTGGGGAGTTGTGAAGGCATCATGAGGAGGGAGGAGCTTAGCAGCTAAGTGGAGGAGAGCACCCTCCATGCCTGGATTCGTTACTTGCTCGTTCTAGATGCTGAACTGCTGGCGCACTGCAGCACAACTAGAGATGTACGGATGCCCCCATCTTGATCTTACGGAATCAGAGCTGCAGCCGCAAGAAAGTTTTCTGTTTCGGCTTTATTTAAAAGATGGGGTGGGGTGGGGTAGACAGGAAACGAGCTTAACGTGTTAAGTGACTGATGACATTGACACATTTTGTTTGGCAGAGTCAAGAACAGACACTAAATCGCTTGAGGACCCAGGAGGGTGTTTGCTGCTTTGACAACAGAGTAAGTAAAAATCATTGTGCTTTTTTAAATCTAAAGATGGTTTTGAGAATCTGAAACCAAGTTAGAGCAAGTTCGTTTTTCTTCTCAAAAAAACTGGGCTGGACCGGGCGCGGTGGCTCATGCCTGTAATCCCAGCACTTTGGGAGGGTAAGGCGGGCGCATCACGAGGTCAGGAGTTCGAGACCAGCCTGGCCAACATGGCAAAACCCCGTCTTTACTAAAAATACAAAAAATTACCCAGGCGTGGTGGTGCGCACCTGTAGTCCCAGCTACTTGGGAGGTTGAGGCAGGAGGTTGCAGTGAGCCGAGATCATGCCATTGCACTCCAGCCTGGGCAACAGGGCAGGATTGTGTCTCAAAAAAGCAAACAACAACAACAAAAAACTGGGCTGAAAAATACCACATCACTTTTTTCAAAACCTTGTTGGGATACTCTGGTTTATAATAAAGATTAAAACCTGTGTATTTTTGTTTAGCATCAGTTTTAATGAAAGTATTATGTTTCATTCTTTGGCTTTTCCTAACTTGCTTAATTAGTTTATTGCTTTGCATACTCTGTTAGAGTACAACGTAAGTTGTTTATGAATCAGTAGAAAACAAAACGTTTTTACATTTGAAAACTAATGTGTCCAAGCAATACATAATCATGCCAGTCATGCACGGGTCTGTGAGTATCTCTCTTTCAGAGATGTTTTGCCACTGCGAAGTGGACCTTTTTAGGCAAGTGACATCTCTCATGATCTTTTCTTATTTCTCAGCTATACCCTCACAGTTTGCTCTGTTCTTCCAACACCAGTGGAAGATGATCACATCCCAGGTAAGTTGTTTATTTTTTCACAGTTTTGCTTAAAAGTAATTATTGAGGTTTTAAAAATGTCTCTATATTCATATGAAAGTAGAAATAACATCAGGGAAAATATAGAGGAGAGGTCACATTACAGTTAGTGGGTCAAATGCAGCCTGCTGCCTGTTTTTTTATGGTCCGCAAATGAAGGATAGTTTTTATATTTTTAGATGGCTAGAGGGAAAAAAACCAAGAGTATTATTTTGCTTGGAAATTGTATGAAATTCAGATTTTGTTATCTATAAAGTTTTATTGGGACTCAGCTATACTCATGTATTTTATGTATTGGTCTGTTGGTACTTTCACACTACGAGGGCAGAGTTGACTGGTTGCGCAGAGGACTAATGGCCACAAGCCTAAAATATTTACTGTGAGACCCTTTACAGAAAATGTTTGCTGATTTCTGATAGAGAGTTGATGAAGAGTAAGACAAAAATGTCATGTTAAGGGAATGCAGATCTTGTGATCTCACAGAGTTGTGAAACGAACACATAAAACACTTTAAAGGTCAATGGGCTTTATTAGGTGACATTGTGAAACTTCTGAGACAGTCCTTTCAGTTACATAAAAAGTAGTAACAAACAAAGTGAATAATTCATGTGCAGTCCAGGGGAAAACTTAAGAGATAGCAAGAGAAAGTATGTGATAAAAAATTCAATAGGCCGGGCTAGGTGGCTCTCACGGCCTGTAATCCCAGCACTTGGGAGGCCGAGGCGGTAGATTAGGGAGGTCGGGAATTTGGAAAGACCAGCCTGACCAACATGGTGAAAACCCCGTCTCTTACTAAAAATATAAAAATTAGCTGGGCATTTTGTGGCGTGCACCCTGTAATCCCAGCTAGTCGGAGGCTGAGCAGGAGAATCGCTTGAACCCAGGAGACGGAGGGTGCAGTGAGCACGAGATTGTGACCACTACACTCCGCATGGGCCGGGGACAGAGTGAGATCCATCTCAAAAAAAAAAAAAAAAAAAAAAATTCACATGAATTATGTAGCATTAGGACTTATGGTTGTTTATAAGACAACAGTCCTGGTAGGCTAGGGTGATCATGGGTTGTTAGGATGTGGCAGGCTTTGTGACAGCCCTAGAGACTGGGCAGAACTGGAATATTTGCAATAACTTTCAAGGGATTCTACCTAAAAAAATAATTAATCACATGGAAATTGACAATTAAGCCATTTTAAAGTATAGAATTCAATGACTTTAGTACATTCACAGTGTTGTAAAGCCATAACCACCGTTTATTTCTGGAATATTTTCATCACACCAAAAGGAAACATGGTACCCTTAATAAGCAGTGTTGTAACTTAATAAGCAGTTGCTCCCTTTTTCCCCTCTGCTCCTAGCCCCTAGCAACAGGTTGCAGTAGAGACTGTAATGGCCCACACACCTTTTTGTTTAAATGCTATTGTAATTGGAATTGTTAATTTCCTTTTTGACTGTGCATTGTAATGAGTACAGAACTAATTTTTGAGTAATCTTGTATCCTGTAATTTTGCTGAATTTATTTCCTATTTGTAGAAGTTTCTTTGTGGATTCTTTAGTATTTTCTGCATATACGATCATGTCATCTGCAAACAAAAATATTTTCTTTCTTTCCAATTTGGGTGTATTTATTTGTTTAATCTAATTGTTGTGGCTGGAATTTTTAGTACAATGTTGAATATATGTGGCCAAAGCAGGAATCTTTATTTATCATTAGTTTTTTGTTTTAGCAGTCTTAACCATTTTGGGATGTACAATTCAGAAGCAGTGTTATGTATATTCATATTGTACATCTAATCTCCAGAATTTTTTCATCTTAGGAAATTGAAATTCTGTACCCATTAAGCAATAACTCCCCATTTTCCCCTCCTCCTTGCCCCTGGCAGCCACCATCCTGCTTTCTGTTCTGTGAGTTTCACTACTTTAGTATGTCTCATTTAAGTGAAATCATACAGTATTTGTCTTATTGTGACTGGCTTATTTCACTTAGCATAATGTCCTCAAGCTTCCTCAGTGTTGTAGCATGTGTCAGAATTTATCTCCTTTTTAATGTTGAATGATATTTCATTGTACCCATGTTTTGTTTATTCATTCATCTGTCAGTGGACATTTGGATTCCTTCCTCCTTTTAACTGTTGTAAATAATGTTACTGTGAACATAGGTGTACAGCTATCTCTTTGAGATCCTTTTTTCAGTTCTTTTAGTTATATACTCAGAAGTGGTATGGCTGGAATCTATGGTAATTCTATTTTTAGTTTCTTGAGGAAACACCAACTTGTTTTCTACAGAAGATGCACCATTTTACATTCCCATCCTCAGTGTACAGTGCACCATTTTACAGTCCCATCCTCAGTGTACAGGATTCTGATTTCTGCATATCCTTGCCAACACTTGTTATTTTCTTTTGTTGTTTTGATAGCAGCCATTGTAATGGGTGTATGGTAATTGTTCGTTGTGATTTTGATTTATATTTCCCTCATGATTAGTGATGCTGAGCATATTTTCGTAAGCTTGTTGACCATTTGTATATCTTTTATGGAGAAATGTCTGTTCAAGTCCTTTGTCCATCCTTGAATCTGGTTTTTTGTTTGTTTTGAGTTGTAGTGGTTCTTTATTTTTTTTAATATTGATTCCTCATCAGATACGCGAATTGCAAATATTTCTTCCTGTTGTGTTGGTTGCCTTTTCATTCAGTTAACCATGTCCTTTAATGCACAATTTTTAAGTTTGATGTAGTCCAATTTATTTTTACTACTGTTGCCTTGTTTTTCTGATAATATCCGGAAGAAACATTACATTGCCACATGTAATGTCAAGAATCCATTCTCCTATGTGCTCTGCCATGAGTTTGTAACTTTAATTTTGGTTCTAGATTTAGGTCTTTGATTCATTTTGAGTTTTATTTTTAATTTATTTATTTATTTATTTAGTTTGTTTTGATGTGGCTATCCAGTTTTTCAACACTATTTGTTAGAAAAAATGTCCTTTCCCTATTGACTGTTCTTGACAACTTTGTTGAAATCATTTTACCATACATGCATGGGTTTCAAGATTGTTTTGACTACTTGAGATCCCTTGAAATTTCATGTAAACTTCAGGATGATTATTTCTATTTCTGTTACTATGTCTCCTTTGTAGACTGACCTTTTTTTTTTTATCAGTATGTAATGTTTTCTCTTGTAACAATTTTTGACTTAAAGGTCTCTTTTGTCTCAATATAGCCACCCTGGCATTCTTTAGGGTTCTATCCTCCTTTGTCATTTCAATTTCAACCTACTGTGGTTGTGTGTTTGTATCTAAAGAGAGTGTCTTATAGACTATATTAGTATAGTTGATCATATATTTATATTAATTTTGCCAATTTCTTTTTTTTTCTTTTTTCCTTTTTTTGAGACAGAATCTCACTGTGTCACCCAAGCTGGAGTGCAGTGGTGTGATCTTGACTCTCCTGCAACCTCAGCCTCCAGGGTTCAAACAATTTCTTCTGCCTCACCCTCCTGAAGCTGGGATTACAGGTGCACACCATGACGCCTGGCTAATTTTTTTTTCTGTAGAGACAAGTCTCACCATATGGCCAGGGTGTCTCAAGCTCCTGACCTCATGATCTGCCTGCCTCGCCTTCTAAACTGCTGGGATTACAAGTGTGAGCCACCATGCCCAGCCTATTTTGCCAATTTCTGTCTTTTAGTTGGGAGTTTAGTTTATTTACATTTAGAGTCAATGATAAACTGATAAAGGACTTATGCCATTTTGCTAGTTATTTTCCATATGTATTACATCTTTTTTGTTTTCAGTTTTTCTATGTGTGCCTTTTTTGTGTTTTTTTTCTAATGTGCCATTTTAATTCATTTTGTATTTCTTTGTATTCATTATTTACCTAGTGTTAATACTTAGAATTGCAATTAACATCTTGAATTTATAACAATCTAGCTTGCATTAATACCAACTGAGCCTTAATATTATATAAAAACTCTGGTCCTATATAGCTTTGTCCCTGTCCTTTGTCTTCTTATTGTGACATTTTATGCCTTCATAAATTGTGTGCACATTACCATAGATGTATAATTATTGTTTTATGTATATGTCTTTTAAATCGTATAGAAAAAAGAGAGAACCTAAAAGCCAAGAATACAATAAGACTGGCTTTTGCATTTACTTATAGTACTTTTACCATTTGAATTTTTTGTGTGTTTGGATTGAAATTACTGTCTAGTGTCCTTTTGTTTCAACCTGAGGGACTTCCTTTTGCATTTCTTGTAGGACAGGTCTAGTACTAATATGTTTTCTCAGATTCTGTTGATCTAGGGATGTTTTAATTTCTCCTTCCTTTTTGAAAGGTAGTTTTGCCTAATGTAGAATTTTTGTTATTTTTTTTTTCTTTTGGCACTTTAAAGGTGCCATTATCCTACTGCCTCTGGCCTTCATGGTTTCTGATGAAAGACTGTCTGATAATCTTATTTCAGGTCCTTTGTACATGGTTAGTCCCTTATCTCTTGCTACTTTCAAGACTCTTTGTCTTTTAACAATTTATTATTTCTCTCAGTTTGAAGTTCTTTGATGTTATCCCAATTATAGTTTCTTGAGAGTCTTGGACATAGAGATTCATGTCTTTCATCAGTTTGGAAGGTCTTCAGACGTTATTTCTTCAGATATTTTTTGGTTCCCTTTTCTCCTCTTTGTCGGTAACTCTTGTTATTAACTTGTGGGTATGCTTAATGTTGTCTCATGGATCTCTTAGGCACTATCCATTTTTCACCATTCTTTTTCTCTGCTCCACAGAATGAGTGATCTCCATCAGTGTCTTCAATTTTGCTGATTGTTCTCTTTGAGCTCCAATCTGTTATTGAATCCTTCCACTGATTTTAAAAAATTTTAGTTGTTGTACTTGTCAGCTCCAGACAGTCCTAATTACATTTTTATAGTTTTGTTCTCTATATTAATATTTTATATTTGGCACAGCATCATTCTCCTGGTTTCTGTTAGTTCTT